TGTAAATTCTTTTCGATTGACGCTGCACCAGTTGAGAAGACTTTCAGTTTAAGTTAAGTTTTTTATTGCGCTGCAATAATTCCCTTTTGAGAATTGCATTGAGACTGCAAATGTCGGATGTATCCTCCTGACTTTCATCTTCACAATCTAGCATCGTTGTTTAAACATCGCTGTTCTCCAAAGAATTCTTCATTCTTTCTTTTGGTTCTTTCTGAATTTGGGGAGCCTGTAACGTCATCAGCGTTTTTCGATTTTAGTTTTTGTAATTCATTTTTAATCCGTTCTTCTGTGACAGGCCAGATATACGTTTTATCAGTGCACTTGCACAATAATCCAGGGACCGAAAGTAACAGTTATTTTTTTACGAGTTAAACTTGGNTCCAAATTAAACAAATTTGGTATCATATGAAAGTGGACTGAAATAGCTTTTAAATAACTTCGATATTCGCATTCGCAAGAGATCCGCATTGATTATTGCGAATGCGAAAGCGAATGCGAATGTTAAAATTAATGCGGAAGCTCCGCGGTTGCGAATGCGAATGCGAATATTAGCAACAACCCTGGTACATACATATTTATGTATGTATGTATATAGCCTTAGGGAAAAATTTCGCAGATATTTTTACAGAAAATAATCGGAAATTTTAAAAACTTATTTTTAAGGCTTTCAAAAAACACATATCTTTAGGAATGTTTCGGAATTTTTGAACCTAAAAGATCTCAAAAGTCCCGTAATGTCTGGAACAAAAAAAAAAATTCCGAAAAAATGGAAAATGTCAATCGATTAAAAAACAAAATTCGAAGAAAGCACGAAGTGTCTATCTTCACGAAGTGCCGAAAATATTACGAACTGTCACGAAGCCTCTGAAATCTTTGACCTCAAATTTCTACCTGTATCTTTAATTTGTTATTTTGGCTTAAAAAAAGGACAAGAAAAATAATTCTTACATACTTATGTTGCTCGCCATATCTAATAAAAGATAAATTTTTTAAAGTATTTTCTTTTTTATGTACGTAAACTGGTTTTTGTCTAAATCTCTTATAGAGCGGTCAATCTGGCGCTTGAGGTAGAAATAATAATTGGAAAACATACCGACTTGCTAGAAAAATTATACTGATTAAAATAACGAAGTGCCCTATCTCTTCATTTGACAGCAAATAATTTTAAATTACTTAAACACTATTGGCATTGAGCGCATCGCCGTTAATATCGCAGATGGTTTATTTTTCGTTCAACGCATTATTTATTTATTTACATATTTCGTTTTGTTTATGAATTTACAATTCTTACAGACCAAGTACAAGTGAAATTAAACGGCTGATATTATTACAATTGCTTTGAGATAAAAATTTAGTCCGTAAATAATATTTTGGATGGGAAGAAATTCTCTACATAATTATAGTGAAAAGTACTACGCTGCGACTAATCACATTCGCGTAACCAATTGTTATTGGTTTTATATATAAAGTTTAATCAAAGGCTATTTAAGCTCCTGTACATACATATTTCCGGCAAAAAAAAACGAATTATTGGCCCGTGATTACAGAAAAACACAAAGTCGACTCGTAAATTAGTTGCAGCTTTTTTGACAGATATCCCATTGAAAATTCAAGTAAAAAAGCTGCAATTATATCTAAAGAGCCTCCGTGTCTCAAATTCTGTATGACTTTGTTTTTGATGAATCATAATTTAATGGGTGCGATCCAAAAAAACCCAATACGTATTTCAAAATAACATCAACCAAGTTTAGGTTCATACATACATACATACACACACACTAACTGCTTATGACAAACAGAACTCATGTGTTATGCTAAAGTGACATATTTTTTACGAACTTACCTACATATCGTACGTATGTACATACTTGCTGCCAATGTTATATGTACATATGTGCAGCTGCGGTCAAATCTAAAAAATCAACCAATAAATCATTTGATTAATTGTTGTGATCTTTGTGCAAGCTTTGAAAATTTTATTTATGCATGTATTTTGTTTCTGTTTTATGTAGATCAAACTTATTTATATGAAAATTATTATAAAACATAAGTTGCAAGCAACACCAGTCTGAATTTTGGTGCTATAATTCTGACCGCAACTGTATGTATTATATGTCTACAAATACAACTTTATTATATTTAGTGAATTGGATTATTTGTGTTTATGAGCAGTGTTGCCAGGACTTCAAAAATAAAAAAGGCTAGATCGGCCGAATAATCGACTAAAATGCCAAAAAAAGGCTAAAAGAGGCCAGCCTTTTTAACATTTCTTTAACTCTTATGTACAAAGAGGTGGTACAAATGCACCACCGAGCAACAAAAATGTTAAATATCTCGAAAACCAAAATATTTAAGATCATGGAATTTCATGAAAGTTATTTAATAAAACCGTTTTAATAATAAAGGGGACTCTTTTTTTAGGGTCCGAAAACCCATAGTCCTTAAAGACGGAGTACCACCAAATATCTTTATACATTACAATACGATTCGCAACATATCTGGCGAGAGTTTCACGTCTCAGTCACTCGTGGAAGCTTTGCAACAAAGCAGCGAAAAGTGGTCGGCAGCTAAGGACCCCCGAATGGCTACGGCATAGCAGCGTCAACTAACTAAGTACCTTACCCGTGGGGTGCGGAGTTCTAAGAAATAATGCTTTTCCTGGTTTTATAGGGACACTTGAGAGCCCCTGAAAAAACTGTTAAACTATAAACAGAACGAGTTCGCTGAGTAAATTTCGTCGGACCGAGCGATGTCGCCGGGTGATATTCGCTTACCATTTCGTCAAAAAAAATTAGCCCGAACAATAATTTAGTGCTACTACAAATACTGCGGAGGATTGTCCTTAAAAAATGCTAGTTTGAAAATAAGAGAAGGCTAGAAAACAGCCACGAAGCTGAATCCTAAATTTCGAAGCTAAACGACAAAGAAAAAAGCTAGATCTAGCTTCAAAAATACTAAACTGGCAACACTGTTTATGAGTAAATACAGGGTTAAAAAAAATCCAGCAATTGACAACAAATACCAATTTAGGAGCATAATATAGGCAAAAGAAACAGTAAAACCGATGGGCCTTTGAGTCAAGGGGAACTAGGAATGATTTACGAAAAATTTATTGATTTATTGGCTTGTATCGAGGCAGGTACAATTTATGTGTATATACTTTTTTGTATGTTTGTCATAGATATATGTATACAAATGTACATTCATTCAATTCAAATGCCTTATCAGAACGATTGATTTTGAGTTTATCATTTTGATTACCCGAAATTTTTTTACGTTCCTGATAAAACGTAGGCTATAAGTAAAGGCATTTCCTGATCGAAAATGAGAAATAAAAATATTATGAGACACTGCAAATAAATAAAACGATCCTAAAAATCAAAATGTTCTTAACATTTTTTTGGCATTAAACAATTTATATCTTCATTCAAACTAAATTAGCCGCATAGACTCGTGCACACATTTTTTTCGCTTAAATTAACATTCAAGTGGATATCTGGGTACCTACATACATTTGTATGCAAATACACTTGTTTGTAGCTACCACGAAAATCATGCACCCGCTGCAGATGTCTGATATGTACATATGCACCTACATATTTCCATTAGGGCGGGTCAATTTTTTACGACCATAGACGTATAGCATCGGCGAGTTCTACGTGTAATTCTATCTTTTTTCTAAGCCATCCGTCGGAGGGCGCAACAGTGAAAATTTTCACATTTTCTTACGTGCTAAAATAACATATATTTTACTTATCCTTGAACATTTTTTTTCATACAACTAAAATTCAACACAAACTACATGCGTACGCATGTAAGTAGGTATGTACAGTACACTGCATCACGAAAAAAAAGTTGCGGTTTTTCCGCCGGAATTACAAAATTTATTATATTTGGAGACGTCCACCAAAATATTTTGGAAAAATATCAAGATTTACGTGAGCTGAACCGATTTGAAAATAACTCCAAAAATTGAGTTTTTTATGCATAAAAATTGTTTATTAACCCTAAAATGGTAAACGTAGCCTGTGAGGCGCAACAATTTTTTGTTTTTGCGATATTTCCAGATCGGTCTGTCAAATCAAAGAGTAGGTTCGTGCCAGTCAGTTAAGTGTTATATAAAATTTTGTGCAGTAAGTACGTGTTTTGTTCAGCCGAAATATTCATATGAAGCGATGTTTACCAATAAAGGTTTTTTTTTTGTGTAGGAAACTTTTTAATAACAAAATTGTTTCTAAGCCATAGGCATGATATTCTTTTTTAATATGTTAATTTGATCTAAAGTCTATAAGCTAAAATAATTTTACAAAAATATCTCAAACGGATATATTTTTTTTCAAACGGTCTCTGTATACCACCCATTAAAAAATGTGATCGACTAATATGGCTGTAACGAATTTCAGATACAAAAAAAAATTAAATTTTTTTATTAATTTTTGTTACAAGATATAGTGCATACGTAGTATACGTTTTTTTTTATAAAGGTCAAATGTTCGTTGTTTATAAAGGTACATAGTCTCATAGGCGATGTTTACCATTAAAGGGCTAAAAAATATGTTTACCATTCTAGGGTTAAACAACTTTTTGAAAAAATTCCCGCAAGATGACAAAACAGTTTAAGCTCAAAAAATCGGCATAAAACTATTTAAAAATCTTTTCAACGGAATCGTAACAATGAGATTTTCTATGCTATTTTTAACAGTTTTCAAAGATTGGGTTAAGAAAAACTTGAATAAGTAACTGGGCCAAAGATATTCCAATTTAAACTTATGAGTTATCAATGGAAAGGTATTTCCTCAATCTTTTTATTTTTGTGCAAAAAATTTAAACACTTCTTTACGACACTACAGCCAATTGCTAAGTAAAAGAAACCTACTTTCGCAATTTGGCGATCTCCAAACTGATTTTAGATCCATGGTTTATTCGGCAAGTTTGCTTAGAATTACACGTAGTATCCTCCTATGCTATACGCCTATAGTCGAAAAAATCCCCCATACAAATTTACCCGCCCTAATGTCCATATGTATGCATGTGTGTATGTAGATTTATTAATAACAACACATTTATGCACATGAATTTGTTATTCAACTGCTTTAAACTGGCTATTTTTAGTATGACAATCAAATTAAGCTTTAAAAGAATACTTTATCATAATGCAATAATCAAGAGCCTCCACAATACAGGCAATTTAACTAGTGGAAAGCGAATCCGAGGCAGTTGCAGATGCAATTTGCATAGATTTTGATTTAAAAATAAAAACGCATATGAATGTACACTATCTATAACGAAAACATGAACTTTGTAATATATCAGGCTGCTATGTACATATGTACAGTGGTCTACAAAATAATAGGAGTGCGACATTTTGATAAGTTTTGGCTATTTGCCCTTTGTTTATTTTATATTTATTATTTTTTCATAAAAGTCTAGCTGGTTGTGCAACAAACACAATATAAAATTATATTTCAAAATTTGTACAAAAATTATAAAAATTCTGCAAATTTTCGCCAGAATTTCAAACTTTTTAATCAGTCTTTAGAAAAAAATTTGTAGCCCATTTAATTCTAGTCTAATGAAGTGCAAGTTTCAAAAGCTGCTAAAAAATCCCGCTATTTTTTTGGCAATTTTTTTGCTGGCAGTGTCCTCCATATAAAAGAAAATTGTCGAACATACTTTGTATGGAAAAAACGTGAAACACCTTCAACCAAAAAAATTCTCAAAAAGCAACGGGATTTTTACCATCTTGAAACTACAAAACTGCATAACCAAATTTTTTCTAAAGATTCTGATTAAAAATTTTGAAATTTTAGTGAAAATTTGCAGAATTTTATAATTTTTGTACAAAGTTTGAAAGGTGTTTGTTGTATAGCCAGCTAGATTTTTATACAAATATAATAAACATAAAATAAACAAAGGACAAATAGCCAAAATAGATTAAAATATCGCACTCCTATTATTTTGTGGACAACTGTACATATGTATGTATTCTTGAAGGCATTTTATAAACATTTATTTGCTTGCATTATCATACATAGATACACATATATAAAGTTTATATTATGACTATGCATACATACACCAGTGCATATAAATGTAGGTGGATACACCCTTTAAACAAATTTCTATCTTCAGAATGTAAGAATGCATCTAAAATGAGTCTTTCTTTTATCATAAATATGAATCTGAGATCAGTCAACAAGACTGGCTTATTTCGGTCTCTTTTGGTAAGTAACCATTTTTTACTCAATCGTTGATCAAAAGTAACAAAGTTTACGTAGAAGTAAGAGTTTATTTACATATAATTAAATTATAACAAAATATTTGCTTTCACGAC